AGTGACAGGTGTGTAATAGTGATCAGTGAGAGGACAGGTGTTACGGCCGCAGACACAAGCAATCCACCATGTGATGGAGGTACATATACGAAGACTTGTCTAAAGTCCAACCTGTGTGACAACCATGAGCCCTCCATAGATACAGTGCAGTCATTGAGCGTTGTCACCCCAGGACAGGAAGTGTGTTACTGGCCAGATCACTAGGAAAAAAAGAAAACTAATGCAGCCACCACATCTAAGGACTGGAAGGTACAGGGGGGAGGGGTGCAGCCACCACATCTAAGGACTGGAAGGTACAGGGGGGAGGGGTGCAGCCACCACATCTAAGGACTGGAAGGTACAGGGAGGAGGGGTGCAGCCACCACATCTAAGGACTGGAAGGTACAGGGAGGAGGGGTGCAGCCACCACATCTAAGGACGGGACGGTATACTGTAAGTAGAGAGAACTCAGTGACACCCCCGTGGACTCCCCAGTCTACAGTCTTTGAAGTATGGCCATCCATGGTGAGGAGTAACTTTGGGGGCCCCCTTTCTCTAGAAGTGGCCCCCTGATGTCTTCTCATTCCTCACTCTGTTTTCTGTCCTTCCAGGGGATGGAAAGTTGTGCAGCTCGGATGAGGAGAAGACGGCAGGAAGGTTGTCGGAGTCGGCTGGGAGTGACCATGAAGAAGACGAGACCTCTGGAGACAGCTGTGGAGATGAGAATCTTCAGGATCATGGAAATGGCCCCACACGAGGCCGAGGGAAAGGGAAGAACAGCCCCCAGGACCCAGCAAAAGCCGGGACTGCTGGGAAAAGTCGTAGACGGAGGACGGCCTTCACCAGCGAGCAGCTCCTGGAGCTGGAGAAGGAGTTCCATTGTAAGAAGTACTTGTCCCTGACGGAGAGGTCTCAGATCGCGCACACGCTGAAGCTCAGTGAGGTCCAAGTGAAAATCTGGTTTCAGAACCGCAGAGCCAAATGGAAACGCATCAAAGCCGGGAACGTCAACAGTCGTGCCGGAGAACCCGTCCGCAATCCCAAAATCGTGGTGCCCATCCCAGTGCACGTCAACCGCTTCACCATCAGAACACAACAGATGGAGGGATCCCGACCGTAATGTGGAAGATCAGGAAATGAGACTGAAAAGTGGGTGGAGCTTGGAAAGCCCATCTCATGGTGCCACCGAACAATTTTGTAAACTGTCTATAGTATATGGAGGCCGCTGAAGAATGGACTATGGTGAAGACTGCAGCAGGTGACCCGGACTGCTGACTGCCATCTTCATCCTACCAAGACATTGACAAATCCATTCCAAGAAGGATCAATCCTTGAAGAGAATCCTGGAAGTTTTGTGTCTCTTCCATGGAGTGGCCTCCATCCTCCCGCCAATTCTAACCAACGCATTTCATTGATATTCCCAAAACTCTCCATCTCTTCAGAAATGACTTCTCATACGAAGGACTAATGTGAGCCGGAGAACCAGAAATCTATCTACAGAGCAGAAGGAAATGTGGACATTTCTATTGAACAATTAATCCAGAGCAACTGAAATAAAAAGGTTCAGCAGTAGAGTGTGACGTGTCTGGAGGCCTCGTCCTTGTGAGGTGTCTGGAGGCCTCGTCCTTGTGAGGTGTCTGGAGGCCTCGTCCTTGTGAGGTGTCTGGAGGCCTCGTCCTTGTGAGGTGTCTGGAGGCCTCGTCCTTGTGAGGTGTCTGGAGGCCTCGTCCTTGTGAGGTGTCTGGAGGCCTCGTCCTTGTGAGGTGTCTGGAGGCCTCGTCCTTGTGAGGTGTCTGGAGGCCTCGTCCTTGTGAGGTGTCTGGAGGCCTCGTCCTTGTGAGGTGTCTGGAGGCCTCGTCCTTGTGAGGTGTCTGGAGGCCTCGTCCTTGTGAGGTGTCTGGAGGCCTCGTCCTTGTGAGGTGTCTGGAGGCCTCGTCCTTGTGAGGTGTCTGGAGGCCTCGTCCTTGTGAGGTGTCTGGAGGCCTCGTCCTTGTGAGGTGTCTGGAGGCCTCGTCCTTGTGAGGTGTCTGGAGGCCTCGTCCTTGTGAGGTGTCTGGAGGCCTCGTCCTTGTGAGGTGTCTGGAGGCCTCGTCCTTGTGAGGTGTCTGGAGGCCTCGTCCTTGTGAGGTGTCTGGAGGCCTCGTCCTTGTGAGGTGTCTGGAGGCCTCGTCCTTGTGAGGTGTCTGGAGGCCTCGTCCTTGTGAGGTGTCTGGAGGCCTCGTCCTTGTGAGGTGTCTGGAGGCCTCGTCCTTGTGAGGTGTCTGGAGGCCTCGTCCTTGTGAGGTGTCTGGAGGCCTCGTCCTTGTGAGGTGTCTGGAGGCCTCGTCCTTGTGAGGTGTCTGGAGGCCTCATCCTTGTGAGGTGTCTGGAGGCCTCATCCTTGTGAGGTGTCTGGAGGCCTCATCCTTGTGAGGTGTCTGGAGGCCTCATCCTTGTGAGGTGTCTGGAGGCCTCGTCCTCGTCTGATGGAAGAAACTTCCATCAGAGATAAGTCTAGGAGGGGGAGGGTCAGAAGTGGAGCGGGTTATTCTGATGTCTTTCTCAAACCCAATAATGAAATCTCTGATGGCCAGCTTGCTATGTCAGGGGCCAGGAAGATACAGAGACCCAACTGGAGCAGATTGCATGTGAATTTCATGATTGAATTGCTGATATAAACACAGGAAGCCACACGGAGGGGTTGTAGCTGCCACACTTAGATCACCAGAAAAGGGAGGTTAGTCACATGCCATGGGGTCACCTAAAGAAAAGCAACGAGGACAATCCGGGGGGAAGCGCCGAACCAACGAAACACAACAATCTGTAGAAATCTTTAGTCAGTTAAACGGGAGAGGAAGTTGGAGACGTCGAAGGGGAGCGAAGAACAACCAGAAGAAGAACCTGACCCTAAGGAGGACATAAGGAGGAGTCTATAAGGAGGAGTATCAGAGGAGGAGTCTATAAGGAGGACATAAGGAGGAGTATCAGAGGAGGAGTCTATAAGGAGGAGTATCAGAGGAGGAGTCTATAAGGAGGACATAAGGGGGAGTATCAGAGGAGGAGTCTATAAGGAGGACATAAGGGGGAGTATCAGAGGAGGAGTCTATAAGGAGGACATAAGGTGGAGTATCAGAGGAGGAGTCTATAAGGAGGACATAAGGTGGAGTATCAGAGGAGGAGTCTATAAGGAGGACATAAGGTGGAGTATCAGAGGAGGAGTCTATAAGGAGGACATAAGATGGAGTATCAGAGGAGGAGTCTATAAGGAGGGGCATAAGGTGGAGTATCAGAGGAGGAGTCTATAAGGAGGGGCATAAGGTGGAGTATCAGTAGAGGAGTCTACAAGGTGGAGTATCAGAGGAGGAGTCTACAAGGTGGGACATAAGGTGGAGTATCAGAGGAGGAGTCTATAAGGAGGAGTATCAGAGGAGGAGTCTATAAGGAGGGACATAAGGTGAAGTATCAGAGGAGGAGCCTATAAGGAGGAGTATCAGAGGAGAAGTCTATAAGGAGGACATAAGGAGGAGTATTAGAGGAGGAGTCTATAAGGAGGAGTATCAGAGGAGGAGTCTATAAGGAGGGGCACAAGGAGGAGTCTACAAGGTGGGACATAAGGTGGAGTATCAGAGGAGGAGTCTATAAGGAGGAGTATCAGAGGAGGATTCTATAAGGAGGACATAAGATGGAGGATCAAGGAGTCTACAAGGTGGGACATAAGGTGGAGGAGTCTATAAGGTGGAGTATCAGAGGAGGAGTCTATAAGGAGGAGTATCAGAGGAGGAGTCTATAAGGAGGGGCACAAGGAGGAGTATCAGAGGAGGAGTCTATAAGGAGGAGTCTATAAGGTGGAGTATCAGAGGAGGAGTCATTGGGGGTTTGTCCGGGATACTCCGGAGATCACAGAGAACATGAACCTCATTCCTATGGAGGATAATAAAGGGGAAGGTAGAGGTCTTTGGTGAGTAGCTCCGCCTCCAGGGTGTGAGGTCACAGTCCTGGCTGCTTCTGCACCGTGGCCCTCGGTGACGTACGAGCAGGGGGAAGAGTCCTCCAGAGAAGTGCTAAGAACTCTTCTTATGGGACCCGGTCAGGTTCTAAATAATGGAGTCCAGAGAGCTTTTCTGCCCCCGTGTCCCCTCCCCTCCCCCCTACGCTCACGGCCTCATTAACAGGAGAGAGGACGGTAATGGAGGCTTCTGTGGAGGCCGCTGAGCCCTCGCAGGACATACCAGCCGACTGGCTGCAATTCTCTCTGAAGCAAGAAGCCAGTGAAGTCAGAATAAGGAACGGAGGCCGTGGGATCAGCGTGACACCCGGGTGAGGATTTCTGATGTTCCCGCTGGCAGGGGGTCACATGACATGATCATCCAGGGAAAGGGGAACTCTAACCTCATAAGAATAGTCAGGAGTCACCTCTAAAGTCTATCCAGAGACCCCGAAATCAAGCAGAGTGACCCCAATGGCTTGTCAGTGTTCCGGGTCACATGACAGGGGGAC